GCTGGATGTGAAGAAGATTCAAGTGAGGAAATTATATTAAAGTGCTCTTATCAATTCTAAACCTAATATAAATTGTCTCCAAGAGGGTAATAATTAAAATATAAAGAGGGGAGAAATGGTTGTTCAGGGGAAGGGGACCAGCCATAACCAAGATTCTCTATTAAACACATTAGCACATATCAATCTAACTGACTACCTGTCCTCTCAAAAGAGGAGAGAAAGTGATTCCAAGGTCAACCAATGCATTAATAAGAGAATGAATTTAATCTTGAAAACCAAATCCAGAGCCACAAACCATGGGTTTGAATACTAGCCCTATCATTAACTGTGTGACTATATGCACATTAATTAGTCTCTCTTTGCCTCATAGTACCCATCTATACAATGTGGTAATAGACCTATCTGGTAGGTTTATAGGAGAATGTAATGAGTTGATAAGCTGAAAATGCTCCTAATAGAGTTTGACACACAGTAAGTGTTCTGTGCTGGTCATTATTATTACAATTAGCACAGGTTATGATTACCCATTAACACACAACATGCATGACATCCGGTAAAGATAGTGATACACAAAAATCAGACCACAGCTAATGGGGTAGCAAATAAAGAGACTGTAAAGACCACATTAAACCAGAGGGAAAAACAATTGTTGATGTTTTCCTGTATTACTTTTTTTCCAATGTTGTGGGAATATTTCTTTTAGGTTGACAGAGCTTTAGAGACAGCACAGATCTAGACATTAATGAGAAAAACTATTGAAACTATTAAATGATTATGAATACCAACAATTTTAATAGCATTTTGTCATAGAATTGTGGGAGTGGCTGTTATTACTTGTTCTTCAAATTCCAAAGTTCAAGAACTAAGATTTTTCTGCTCAATGTTATTTGACCTGTATAAGTGATATAGTAAGAAACACAAAATAAAACTTCCAAAAATTGCTGAAATATAATGAAACTTTGTGGGAGTTTCTGAAAGGTACATCAAAGAGGGAGTTAAATTCTTTGGTACTGGACAAACATCCCAAAGACCTTTTCCACCTTTCCCCTGACACTCTCCCAATCTACTTCTCATAATTCCCTTATTTCTTTTCTCATCCCCAAAGTTAGTTTTTCCTCTTCCATGTTCTTTATAATCTAAACCAACATAACATTTATCACAATTTTCCATTTTATCTTCTAATATTCTCCTCAAATGATGGAAGACAAAAGCTGTGAAAATATAGGTCAGTATGTAACAAATTGTGGAGTGATTGAGTTTAGAAGTACATATGCCTTTCAGCAAAGACTACTTTGGCCTGGATGCTTGGAACTACAATAAAACTCAATACCTGTCCCAGGGAGGAATAGAATGCACAAGTGGATTAGACATGAACTCAGAAAATTATTTCATATTGCAAAAAGTTCATATTTCAAGAACTAGGACTTCCTAGGAGTTAGTCTTCTATCTCATGTTAGATTCAAGCACTTTTTTTCACATCTGGTTTCAGCGCTCTGCCCTGTTTTCCAGCTCTCTCATTTCTTCCTCTCAGATATGTTACTGAGTCCTCACCAATTATTTGGACAAGATCAAAAATTCTAAATTCCTCTTTCATTTTCAACAGTAATGTGTTACATTTCCTTTTGGGTGTGTTAACTATGAAGGGATCATCCAAAAGCTATCTCCTACTCATTGGACGTTTTTCTTTTTAGATATAATAGCAATAGATTACTTATTCTTATAGTCTTTAGACATATCTGAAAACCATGCTTTTATATAAGATTCTGCAAAAGAACATACTAAATACCAAAATTGTTACAAAATTAAGTACAAAAATTATCTTGGTTTTGATTTTTTTCATTATAAGGTATTGTAAGTCCTTCCCCTGGAACTATATATATATATATATATATATATATATATATATATATATATAGAGAGAGAGAGAGAGAGAGAGAGAGAGAGAGAGAGAGAGTATCGTTCAGTGACTTTACACAAAATTTGAGGAAGGAGGAAGGGAGAAGTGTGAAGAGAGAAATTTAAGAAATCACACAATGACCAATACACAGAGAAACACTTTTGGGAAAACTTAAGATCTCTTACTTCATGCACAAAACATTAGGTCCTATACAGGAAAGGAATTATACCCTAATTACTAGCCTTTGGGCTCTTCCTAACAGAAGAATAGATTGTCCTACGTACCTCACTTTTGGTGCTTTGATTGAATTTAGTTGAATTAACCTGAATGCTTAGTGCATTCTGAATATTTGTTTTCATTTAATTTTCAGTCAAGAGGCTGGACATTGATTTCCTCTTGCATTTTATTTAAAGTGAATTCATGATCATGGATGAGAAAACCACAGCCACAATCTTTGCCCTGAGCACAAACCTAAGTAAAATCAAAGCATTTCTGAGAGTGTAGGTTGTTCAGTTAAATTTGCTTTAAAAAAAAAAAAATCATCAAGCAATTGCTCTGCTGAAATGGATCAGACATGGAGGCAGAACTCGGACGAGAAACTCTCACTGCACCACCTTGTGCAGTATAATTTTCACATCAAAGAACTTCAAAATAGGATTTTCGGAAGTATTTTAACTTTTAGCTAACTGAGTCAAATCCTTTCTGAAACGAAGCAGGTTATAAATCAACTACATAAATAAATATACCTCCTGGTAGTTTCCAGGTATCACATAGCAAGGTCCATTCTATCCCCACTGCATCCTCTGCCGTTAGGCTCAGTGCTTTCTTCACATCACAGCTCTACCCTTTCACAAAACTATGGATATATGTGACTCTCTAAACAAAAGAACTTCCTTAGAGAAGGACGAGCATGTGCTATGTATTGAAGTTCTAAAAAAGAGGTGCAGGAGCTCAGTAGCACTGAAAGCTCAATGTGAGGAGGGGGGCAAGTATTAAAGGGAAATGAGACCAGAAGAGAAAATTCCGATGAATTTAAGAAGAGTTTCCACGCCACTTTGAGGACTGTTTCCAGTGCACGATGCCATTTTAGAGGCTGGTTAATTCACACTCGGTTTACAGCTTGGCAATGTCACTAGTTACCTGTGACATTTTGTAAGAATCCCTTAATTATGTTAACATCAATTTAAGCTCTTTATGTCCATGATTTATATGTGCATACATATATGTATATATCATTTATACTTTTCCTTTTGAAAAAAATATCATATATAAAACATATATGTGTATAATATATTGTTACATTTGCCTACACACACACACACATACACCCACACATTCTGAAGGAAAATAATGAGTAAATTCTATACAACAGATTCAATTCCTAATAGTTATATAGAATAGAAGTTTCTCTATGATTTCTATATTTTCCAGTTGGATTTTTCACAAATTTATTAGTCCCAATAAATTACTCAATTTGTGCAATCTCTTAGGTCTTATGCTTTTTCTTAAACTATTCTAACCCCATAATATCTATTGGAATCATGGTTATTCGGATTCCAGTTCAAACTCTCCCTCCTCCAAACATTTTTCCATGTATTCTTACAATGAATTTAAATTGTCTTTCCATAAAGTCCTAGAGCAGATGACATTGTTAAAATATTCTGTCTTAAGCCAGAGCTCTGTGTGAGTCAGTGTGCTTTACTCGTGTCAACAACTATAGAAAGGGATAGTTCTACACTCGTATTTCCACACACTTCCCCTAGTGTCTCTAAAATATTTTGTACATAGAAGTTGTTCAATAATATTTTGTGAAATTATATTGAATGTATAATTTAGGTCACTGGATAGAGGAGGGTATAATGTTACTTACCAATGGTTAAATATAGGAAGGGTTTAACCTAAGCTAGATTTTATTTCATAATTAGAAAAGCATAAATAAATAGTGGCTATGAGGCAAGAAAGAAATTCTCAACAGAATTCAAGAGGGAAGATGGGTACATAATATTTCTGGAGATTTCTTCTGATTTTATGAACTAATAAATACTATATTACTTTATCAGAGTCCATCTTCTTCATACAATATGAATTAGGACAAGGTGGCATACACATAGAGTACCACATGAGAAGTCTGAAGGTCATGAATGTAGGAGCAGGTCTTCCCCTCTACTAAAGTTTGACTTGGGCAGGTAACTTAATCCCTTGAACATCACGACTTTTTCCATAAAAAGGAAAATAGAATAATATCTGTGCTTACCATTTGATAGGGCCTTTGAAAAATCAAAAGAGATGAGATATTTAAAAAAGAATCACAGGTTTTATTCCAACCATTATTTTAGCTTCTTGAATATATGTAGTATAAATCATATTCCATAACTATGTGCATATATTGTTTTCTGAGGGTAAAAGTCCATTCTCTTTTTTCAATTCCAATTCTCCTTGTAAAATGTAGCACAGTGCTCATATTCTCTAGGATAATGTCACAGATGTCGACCCTTGCTCTGTGCTCTACCATATCCCTTCTTTTGTTGGATCATAACCCTTGATTTAATTTTCAATCTCCTTCATCATGATGCAAAATCCTTAATTACAATGAATTAAGCCTAGAAAACCATTGAATCTTCAACACTTTGGTTTTCTTAAAATGTTTAGTGACTGAATAAACTTTGACTAACATCTCAGACTTGACTCAAACTCCTAGGAGTTGGGTACAGTGACCTCCTAAAATAAAGGAAGTTTAGACATAGTCTTGTTTACCGAATGTCATGCTTCCGTTGGTAACTTAACTTTTCTCAAATGTCTCCCTAATCATGCTTCAATGTGATAATATCCCATTTTTCTTCATCAAAACTGCTTTAGTTGTTTTACACACAATAGCCTCCCACAGTGAGGAGGTGACTAAATATTAATGGTTGCTTAAGTTTCCTCTGCATCATTTTTTTTCAAAAATGCAGAAATATCAAATGAGATATGCCAGAAGGATAAAATACATTATTAAGTGCCATTATTGTCATTGTTATTATTCTCCCATTGAACAAGGAGATGAAAAGCTGAATTGCACACCATATGGTAATTGCTTGGAAGATAACCACAACTTACGGTCACACCTTCAGCATCCAACGACATTGTTTGCTGCATTTCAGGTGCCAGTGTGGCAGAGGGCCAGTCCAGGAAAGATGAACTGGCAGAAAGAGAATGACAGACATTAGGCATAAGTACTTTTCATGTCAAGCCTTTGGCATGTTCATTGTCGAAAAAATCTGTTCTCATAAATGCTTTCCAAAATATGCAAGTTATGATATGAAGGCATATGATAACTTCTGCCATCCACAGTTATGTTAATATGAACTATCCTGGGAAATGCCAAATCATAGCCAAGATAATGGGTGATTCCAGATGTCTGTCCAATGCCACTCCTACTACCTAAGGGAAATTCAGGAATTAAAAAAGGAAAGTTTAGATAGAAATTTTCATTGTGCAATAATATTCTCCATCAGCAGTCGATTTGAAAGAGATAAACAGCACTATCAAATGAATAGTGTTATTCAATTTGTTCAATGTTAATTCAAATATTTTGTTACTTTATCAAATATTTACCAAGAAAATTATTGGGTAAATATTATTTTCCATTTTTTTTTCCAGATAAAACATCCCAAGGAAACAGAGAAATGAATTGGCCAAAGAGACTTAACTGGATTTTAGTAGGACGAGAGCCCAAATCTGCTGCCTATTATCAAGTCAACTGATCATTAGCAACTTTGGCTATGCTAACAAGCTATTACTTATTAATTTTTTATTTGAGAGCCAGTTTGGTTACTCCTAAATTGTTAAATTTTAAATCTAACAAGTAGTATGCTTTTCATAAAATATAGTTATGGGTTCAAGCCACATCTTCTTGATTGCTAGAAAAAAATAAATAAGACTGAGTCTCAGAATTTTCAAAGAGGAAAAGATTTAGTCTAGAAATGTTCCAAGGCCTGTATCACATGCCTGTATCACAACTATTTCTCCAACAGATATCTTTGACATAGTGCACACACCGGCCTTTTAGGAATCAGCAAATCAAACTCTTCTCTGTATAGTGAACTAGCCTTTCAAGATGTAACAGAGAGCCTTAAATGTAAAAATACTCTTGGAATTTATTCAGAACAGTAGAAATCACAATCCAAAAGCACAGCTGAATATTCATGGAGCGTTTTCATTTATCCAAACTTATCCTTGGAAAACACAATTTTGGAACGATCACCATAATATCTTGGGCAGCAAAATTACTTTATATATAAATGTTTGCTTCTATCATAACCATTGTTGTGTTATATGTACACACAAATACACATGTGAATATGCACATGAGATTAAAAACATATTTAGAGGTCTCATCGCATTTTATGAATCTTACATTATATCTTGAGTACGAAAATTTTACTAAAGGAGAAAGAAAAAATAAAATATCCATGTTGTGGGGGCATTTATTATTTAATATAACTGTTGATTTATATGTAATATTATTATTATTTCCTCTATGAACTCAGAGCAAGACTGGGTACTGTGGTTGTTGGGGCAAGGGGGTGTTACTTAAGGATTGCATACTTCAGTAAGGAGAATCAAAGCAGATTTACACGAAATACAACACAAGAGTACACATCTGAGAGGGCACTACCAGTGTTTTAATAAGTAACAGAGAAAAGTAGGTTTATTAGTGAATATGCATGTATGCTAATGTATAAGCACATATGCAAATAGCTCCTGACAAATCATTGAGGCCAGCTACAAATTGCCCTCCAGCTGCCTGGTCTTTGGGTTGCAGGAATCATTCCATAGCTACTTACCAGGATGTAGTGAATTCCAAGGCAATAATGTTCCACACTCTCTTAGAGCAGCCTTGCTCTGCTTGTTTGGGCTACTGTAGACCAAATTGTGTAGCTCCACAAATTCATGTTGAAGCATTAACCCACATTGTAACTGTTTATGGAGGTAAGTTCCATAAGGAGATAACTAAACTAAAATTAATTCATGAGAGTGGGACCCCGAGTCATTAAGCTTGGTAGCCTTATAAGAAGAGATGCCACGTGAGCCGATCACCATTTACAAATGAGGGAGAGAATTCTCATCAAGCCCTGAACCAGCCAGCACCTTGACTTAGACTTACCAGCTTCTGAACTTTGAAAAAGTAAATCTCTTGCTCTTTAAACCACCAGCCTCCACTATTGCTGCAGCAGTCCTAACAGACTAAGATAGGTTTTGTGAACAGGGCATGGTCAACTCATAGTCTATAATAACACTTGCTTCCTCTACATCAGTCAGATGGACTGGTTGTGAGAAACCTTTGGTTTTACTCAGATGTCAGGCAGATTCATATCATAGGCCAGTGAGTTTTCTGAATCCCCCATAAATTGCATAGCTCATCCCTCTGCTTTTTGAAGTTCTTTTGTAAATGGCACCTTCTTAGTGGGGACCTCACTGACCAACTTAAATTACAGCCCTGTTCAACACTCCCTATTCATTTTCCCTGCTTTCTCCTGTACATTTTTATCCTGTATATTTTACTTGATAATTTTGTTTATTTTCTCTCTTTCCTCACTGGAATGAAAGTATTAAGATAACAGAGTATTAATTGCTTTGTTAATTGAAACGCCCTCAGTACCTGGCACACTGTAAATGGTCAATAAATATGAATCACATTGAATATAATGTTATCATAGAGCTTACAAAATTCAGAAGGGGTAAGAGGAGCTTATTAAAAGCTGAAAACAAATGGCAAATGTGCAGATGGGTATTACAGTTTATGGCTCATTCCCTGATTCAACAATAAATTCTTGAGTACATACTATATATCTGGTACTGGAATTAGTGACCTTTAGAAGCTCAAGTCACAGAGGGCAGAGAGGAAAAGAGGATGAGAAAAAGAGTACGAGAGAAAGAAAACTAATGGAATAAGAATAAATGCAAAATAGATAATACTATTCTCACTTCTCATTCACTAATTATAAAAAAAATCAGTCAAAAGACCACCCTTTGCTATTATTGGTATCTTTATACAATTGTATTAAAAAAATAGACATTGTTTGTGGAGAGAGTGGCAAAAAAATGAAAGGAAAAAAGGGAAAAGATGAAAAAAATATTTAGATCACCTAACAAATTCAGATTTACTTCTTGATAATATAGAAAACCATAGCTAAAACTACAGGGAAATGTTTTGGGGGCGTGGGAAGAGGAAACCCTCAGTTATATAGATTAAGGAGCAGTCATAATTACCAGTCAAAATTAATTTAAAAAGACCACAGAAACCAAGAGCAAAATGAAAATCAGGTATAACAAATCCACGAGAGTAGGCTCCACCAAATGTACACAAGGAAAGAGTTTCCAGAATTGGAAGTAAGGTCATGAAGGAGAAGTGGATACTCCCAGAATTTAATTTTATTCACTTTGGAGGAGATAAATTAGGATTAACATAAACAGATCTAACATATATACTCTCCTTCTCCTTGATATATCTTTGTTGTTATTCTTTCAATCCTTGTCTTTCTGGGAATAGAAAACTTTATGGAGATATAGTAGGAAGAAAAGCTGCTTAATGGGGCACACTATAGCAAACATTATTGATCAATTTTGTTTTACTTGTAAGAATGATTGAATGTTCAAGTAATTGAGATGTCATTTTGTAGCTTGAACATTTTATTTTCTAGAATGTGTGTTTTCTCTGAGAGAATTTATTTGAAAGAAAATAAAGAACCAGAGATGATGTATTGAACAGGAAAAACATACCATTTGACAAGAAGATTTGTCTGGGTCACCCTCTTGATTTCATGGAACAATTTTATATCATCAGTAGTGAAATTTTGCCAACTCAAGGCTAAAGCAAAGATTCTCTTCCAGGGTCTCCCATTCCTGCTTCTTCCTAAATTTTTTATTCTAGTCCTTCAAACAAGTTCTTTCTGCTTCCTTGGGTGCTTTACTTCTCAAAACTTTCTGTAATAAAAAGGTCTAACAAACTCCTTTGCATTAAGGTACAAATGAATAGCTTTACCTAAAATGTGAATCCTCTCTGACTACACATTATTCACCTGTAAATATACAAAACAACCACCCCAAACTGCTATGAATTTTAAGAGTGAAGAAATAAAGAAAGTGAAGGATGATGCTCTGGCAGAAAGCAGAGTTGAGCAGGGCGAGGAGACTCACTCTTCTGCTGCAGATGTGTGGGGTTAGCAGAGACTTACAGATGGCTGCTGTTGCCGGAATAAAATTATGCAAGAATATTTCAACCATTTAATATAAGTAGACTGTCTCTTTCTTCAACATTGTAAAATTCCAACTGCTTTATATTTGTATATAATATGGAGGCAGTTGTTTGAAAAAAATTAAAAAAATAACAATATTGAACACATGTCTGACTTCAGATTGAAGACGAATAAGCAATTACTATGAGTGTGGTTGAAAGGGATCTCATTGAAAATTTCACCCTCATGTCTCTTTACCAAATTGTCTCAATTATATATCATTCCCTTCATGTTACATGACTTTTTCTAGTTAAATTGGAAACTTCTCTGAAAAGTGAAACAGTAAACCCAATCAACAATTAATACAGTGATCAAGGTTCTGGTTCAGTTCCTTTTTAACATAACCAGCTAATACCAGCTTCCTCAAAAGGAAATTCACAGATGAGAATATCTGAGAGGTTTAAGACAATTGACATTCTGGGCTTAGTTTTATAATCATGGGGACATGAAGATATGGGGACTAAGGAAAGAAGTAACACCAAGACAAAGGATTCTAACAAAGAGCAAATGGAAAAGAATGCTGACCCCACGATAGGATCAAGTGGAAACCATACAAAATGAAAAATGATATGAACTAGTTACTATGAAAATCCTAAACTTAATGTCAGGAAATCTGGGGCCAGATACATATACATTTAATTAGACCTTATAAAATACATTTTTTTTTAATCTGGAAGAGTAGATTTGCCCAAATTTCTCAAAATACTAGTGCTATTAAACTCCATATATGGAAAGAGAAAATGAAAATCTTAATGACTTTTCAAAGTATTACAATTATATTCTATATTATTATTTTTAGCACTTTACAACAGTTTTTAGAAAGTCCCAAGAACAGGATGGTCTTTCTTAATAGGAAGAAATGTGATACACTGTTTCTAAGGCCAAATTCTTGAAGCATGAA